GAAAAATATACACTAAACAAATCAGAGGAGACCTTCTAGAAAGTGGTCGCTTTTCTGTTCAGAGAGTTGCTGCTATTCTTTTCTTCGATTTCCTGTTGAGTTTGTAGGTGGTCAGAATGGTTTGATACCTATCTAGCTGAATTCCTGGGACCAGACAAATTTAGGTCTCCTACTCCTCCGCCATCTTGCTCCTCCTCCCCAAATTCATTTACTATTTAATCTTTATTTCACACGTTGCAAACTTCCCTTAAAAATGTTTTAATATATTAGTATCAACACCTAATTTGTCTTATATTTTCAACCAGGTGCTACTTGACCACGGCATTTCAAATCTTCTCCCAACTTTCTCATTCTCTGTCATTCTCATTTCTATATCAAGCCAATCTCAGCTGCCAGCTACCACCTGAACCACATTTCCTCCCACTCTTTCCTCAGTGACACTCAGTTCCAGCCACAGAGCCTTCATCACTGTTCCTCAAACACACCAATCTTATTTTTGCCCTTGTTTCCTCTTTCTGGAAAGTTCATACTTCCAGATTTTCATTCAGGTTTTTGCTAAAACATCATCTAAGAAGGGCCTTCCCTGACCAACCAATGCAAATCTGCAGTTTTTGTCACTCTTTAACCCCTTAACCTGCTTTATAGCAGTAAAGACTACATTAATTATAAAATTTACTTATGTATTTTTTTAAAGATTTTATTTATTTGAGACAGAAAGAGAGTGTGTGTGCATGAGTGGAGGAGGAGGGGCAAACAGAGAGGGAGAAGGAGACTCCCCACTAAGCAAGGAGCCCCGACTCAAATTGGAGCTAGATCCCAGGACCCCAGGATCATGACCTGAGCGAAGGCAGATGCCTAACCAACTGGGCCACCCAGGTGTCCCTATTTATGTATATGTTTAACTTCTGTCTCCCTCAATATGTTTCCAACATAAAAAAAGCAAACTCCTCTTGACACTCAAAATCCTTCCATGACCTGGACTATTTCTTTCCATCAATTATACTTCAGATACCCTATTAAATCAAACTTAATTATTCACACTTTCCCATACACGTCTCTCAATTTCCTTTCTCTATGCCTTTGCTCAAGCAGTGACCATCATCACTCACATGCTCAAATTCTACTCACACTCTTAAGACTCAGTTTAAAATGCCACCTGCAGTGATGTTCCTGGCTGACACTCCTCTGAACTGTCACAATTCTTTATTTGTATCACTCTAAAGACATTATTATTCTACATTTTCTTTATTTTAAAATTTCCTCTCTTAATCAAAATGTCTTGAATGCAGAATCTGCATTCCCTTCATAGAATAATAAAAGAAAAACGCAAATTTTTGTATATATTTTTTGGACATTAGAAATTGGTATATGTATTGGTGTTACTATACTGACGGTCAGACAGAAAAGAAGAATTCAGGCAATAACCCTAGAACATGCTAATACCTAATACACTTGCTTTTCTTTCTTTCCTTTTTTATTGTTAAAAATATACCTATTTGCTTTTTTCCAATATCCTTGTTTCTACCTTTAAATAATTTTTTCCCTATTTAGTTTCTTAAATTTACTCATATTTTCCACTTTTATTTGGGTTTAAATCATAGCTCTGTTCCTCATTAGCTATGTTAGCCTTTTCAGGTCTTTGTTGCCTAATCTGTAAAATGAGGGAGAATATCTCAAATGCAAACAGGGTTATTATAGTATTAAATGAGATAATACATATGTAAAACCCAGTACAGTGTCTAGCACCTAACAGACTCTCTGTGAATGGTGCCTATTAAACCATTATTTCTTCCACAGATACAGAATCAGCAGTTTAAACACACTTCAAGGTATAAAGTTTAAATATTAAAAACACAAAGAACAAAATGCACCTTCATCTGCTGTAATCAAGACTGGACTAGAGTATAAAGCAAGCCAAGCTCATGTTTTCTTTTTCTTTTTTAATTTAGAAAGAAAAAAACTGATGTCATTAAAACACACACACACACACACAATAAAAGAAGAAAGCATTTTTATGGTCACTGATGAGATGGATATTTTAACACATCATTTGGTTGAGAGCTAGAAAATCCCCCTAGGTTCTATAATTAACTAGCTGAATGATTGTGAGCAAGGCAATTCACCTTATAGAACTTAAATGAACTTTTTAAGTTTCTTTTTGCTCAGGGTTGACAGTGTTTTTGGCTCAGTTCAAAAAGCTGGAGTTTTTGCTGTTGTTTTTAAGGATTCTGTATATTTGAGAGTGAGAGGGAGCGCGAGCCAGCAGGAAGAAGGAGAGAGGGAGGGAAAAAGAATCTGAAGCAGGCTCCACACTGAGCGAGCAGCTGCATACAGGGCTCGATCCCAGGACAGCGAGATCATGACCTGAGCCGAAACCAAGATTCAGATGCTTAACTGATTAAGCCACCCAGCACCCCCCTTGCTGTTGTTCTGTTTTGCTTTTAAAGAAATCAAAACTATCACCCATGTCCTCAATATTCTATTCCTAAGAAACCAATATCCATATATCCTTTATACTAGTAGTGAGAATTAATTCATTCATCAAACTGATCACCAGTGATGCACCAAGCTCAAAGATTAGTCTGAATTACTGAAAAGTTTGTTGCATAGAACATTTAAGAAGTTAACTGCCATAATACATATAAAGATATATTCAAAGAAAAATTCATGTAAGCAAATCTGACCCCCCAAAAATGTTTTCATCTGGATTTTGAAAAAGAGCAGATTCAAGTTAGTAGAATACTAATGGGGAATTTTATTTTTTTTATTTAAATTCAATTAATTAACATATAATGTATTATTGGTTTCAGAGGTAGAGGTCAGTGATTCATCAATCTTATACCCAGTGTAAATGGGGAATTTTAAAGATTTATTTATTTATTTGAGAGAGAGAGAGTGCGCGTGCAGGGAGGGAGAGGCAGAGGGAGAGGGAGAGAGAGTCCTAAGCAGATTCCACGCTGAGCATGGAGCTTGATGCAGGGCTCGATCTCACAACCCGAGATCACAATCTGAGATAAAAGCAAGAGTTGGAAGCCTAACCAACTGTGCCATCCACGCACACCATAAACAGGGAATTTTAAAATCAAAAATATCCCTAAACCTTTTTTCAGTTAATTGTAAACTCACACAGTACTTTTAAATTTGGACATAAATTCAGACTATACTCACACACCTGATCCTTTTTTTTTTTTAAATCCTAGTATTTCCTGTGAACACTGCACTTTGGGTATGGCTAAAAATGCAGGGAATGCATAACATGGATTTCTTTTTTTTTTTAAAGATTTTATTTATTTGACAGAGAGAGACACAGCTAGAGAGGGAACACATGCAGGGGGAGTGGGAGAGGGAGAAGCAAGCTTCCCGCGGAGCAGGGAACCTGATGTGGGGCTCAATCCCAGGACCCTGGGATCATGACCTGAGCCAAAGGCAGACGCTTAACGACTGAGCCACCCAGGTGCCCCCATAACATGGATTTTAATGTTAATATACATATAAATTTTCACAACGATTACTTGGCAGTGGTTTCCTTCAGATCATCATCATTCAGGTTTACCTCTCTATTAAAAGAGCAAGAAACTTCTAGTTTAGCATCTATGTGAGTGACATTCAGACAGCTGAATCTCAGTGGTAAACCACGAATACAATACTTTCATTTATTATGAATCTTATCATTGGCTGGGCTGCCAATCCTTCCTGTAGTTCACAAGCATCAAACTTCCTCTGATCATTTCTCAACAGTTTAGATTCAGAGATCTGATCATAAAAAATCAAATCCATGAGTTAAGATAAATACAGTATACATAATTCCCTAGTTTCTCTGAACTAAATATAATTAAAACATTGTTTTGACAAACAGTAAATAACCAAACTATTTTAAATCACAAAGAATCCTAAACCCTCCATAGGTAATACATATTTTGCCAACCAGAACTCATCTCTGACTTTTGGACTAAAATTAAATTATCTAGCTCTAAATCCCATGTTAAAGCTTTCACACAGACTCACAGTGTCTTGGCTTAGTTGAAGAAATACTGTGCCTGGCATTGTTCATATATACTGATGGCAACCTGGTTAGAAACACTGCATCTGGAGTCAGAAGACCCCACGTGGTGTTCCAGCCTTGCCAATTCCTCTAAGTCAGTCACTATCTCTGAAAGCTAAGTATGTTCAACAAATAAGTGGGGAAAATAACAGCTGTTCTAGTATACTATCTGAATGATACCAAACTGTTCTAAGGTTCAAAATGGGACAATATGAAAGTGCTACTCTATAAATCGTTACACACTATAAACATGAGAGGCTTTACTAGTATTAGGTATTTAAAAACATCTGATAACTTGAATTTAATATAAAATTAACTTTTTTCATATTTTTCTCTTTACTCTAATGAACTAGTGGTTCATTGAACCATCAGAGAAGTGGTTAGAATCATTTGTAGAACTTCCAAAAAGAAAAAAAAACTCAAAACCCAGATGGCCTGGTACTATCACGGTAGCTTCAGATTCAGTGAGTCAAAAGCAAAGTTCAGAAGAACTCAGGTTTTTTGTTTTGTTTTTTTTTTAAAATCTATACTTGGGATTCTGATGCATACCTAACTAAAGACAGTATACGGAAGTAGACAGGTTCAAATATGAACCTATTACTACATTATTTCAACAGAAACCTCATTTCATGTTTAAGTTAAAAACTATAGGGATGCCTGGGCGGCTCAGTCAGTTAACTGTCTGCCTTTGGCTCAGGCCATGGACCCAGGGTCCTGGGATCAAGTCCCGCATCGGGCTCCCTGCTCAGTGGGGAGCCTGCTTCTCCCTCTGCCTGCTGCTTCCCCTGCTTGTGCACTCACTCGCGCTCTCTCTCTCTCCCCCTCTGACAAATAAAAATCTTAAAAATAAATAAATATAACAATTAAAAGCTATACTTTGACCCCAACTTTTATATTCATATTTATGTGACAAGTATATTCTAGAATTTCAGATGCCCAAAAGTAAATAGCAACTTACTTCCCGTTTTTGAAGAAATCTCTCTCTTCCCACTCCTTTCCTGTGTCTATGTGTGTAAAAGAGTTTATTCAGAATGGCACATGTTTAGATCAACTGAGTCAATTTGGACAGTCTAAAACTTTGATTGAGATGGGCTGATTTCAAAAAACCATAGAAATATCACCCAATCACCTCAGAATTAGACTTGACTTCTTCTGTGCCTGGTTTAGATGCACCAAGAGTTGTAGTATCATTGCTGCAGTCAGACATACCTAAAAGTAAAATGTGTTAAGCACACATTAAATAATTTAGTTAAAAAAGCTGTATAATCTCACCAATATTCTTAAACAAATATTCTGTAACATAACTAATTTATTTGTAGTCAGAATGTGCTTTGCAAAATGATCTATAATCACATGAGTATCTATTGATTATAACAGGTAAACAATTCTAAAAAGCAAAAATTTAAAAAAAAAGTATGTAGAATGTTAAAAATACAGACCTCAATGATTAAGAAATAATTTCATACAATTATTTTAGATATGAAACAAAATTTAAAAGATCAGAGGGTCAACTTGATTTGACAGATGAAAAAACTCATATCCAAAGATATCTGAAGCCAAAATATTATTCATGGTCTACATAAACCCAAAGTTTTAGACCAGAACTCAGACCTCTTCTACTTTCCTGGCCAGTGCTCTTTCGAACTGATAACAGATATGACTGGTCATTCTCTAAGTGAAACACTATATCCAGATTTCATTAAATGAAAGTTTAATAAAAAAGAATTTAATAGACTATTTCTGCTTCTAACTTATTCAACAACATTTAGAGAACGCCAACTATTTATGAAGAACTCTGCTAGGCACTAAGGAGAAAGAAGAGTAAAATCTAATTCACATTCTACAAGTACTCTGAATCTAATCAAGGAGACGAATAAATAATTACAAGGCACCATGTTAGGTACTATAATACAAAGAAACAAATTTTTACTTTTGAAATACACAGGAGGGAACAATTTTACAATTTCGGTTTGTAAACCAAACCCAATACCACATTAGGAAAATACAACATGAACAGGTGGGATTTATCCCAGGAATACAAGACTAGTTCAATTAGAAAATCTATTAATATAAACTGTATTCATAAATTTAAGGGAAAGAATAAAGTTTTCTTCACAGATGTCGAGAGATCTTTTGACAAAATTCAACATCCATTCAAAATGCAACATTCAAGGAGAAAGGAATCAAGGGAGACTTTCTCAACATAACTTCTCATCATGACCTTGGCTAACTGAAACTAGAGAAAGTGAAACCTCAGCTAAGGGGGGACTATTGTATATTTGAGGGATATTATTGTGTTTCAACTGTGGTTGACAAGCAAATGATCCTCTTTCTGACATGTCATCAGATCAACAGCAACCTAACACTACATCACAACATCTACGTCACTCACCTCAACTTCATCTCATCACATGGGCATTTTATCATCTCACATCACTCCAGGAAGAAGGTGAGTACAGTACAGTACAATAAGATATTTTGAGAGAGAAAGAGACCACACTCACATAACTTTTATTACAGTATATTGTTATAATTGTTCCACTTTATTACTGTTGTTAATCTTTTTTTTTTTAAGATTATTTACTTATTTATCTCAGAGAGAGAGTGAGAGTGAGAGAGTGCACGCACAAGCAGGGGGAGCTGCAGGCTGAGGGAGAAGCAGGTTCACCACTGAGCAGGGAGCCTGATGCAGGACTTGATCCCAGGACCCTGGGATCATAACCTGAGCTGAAGGCAGACGCTTAACCAACTGAGCCACCCAGGCATCCCTGTTATTAATCTCTGAACATGCCTAATTGATAAATTAAACTTTATCATAGATATCATAGATATGTATGTGTAGGAAAAACACACAGTATATATAGGGTTTGGTACTATCCATACTTTCAGGCATCCATTGGAGGTTTTGGAATGTATCCCCCACAGATAAGGAGAGACTACTGTAAAGAGTTCTTAAAGAAAAAACATAAAAAACCAGATTGAGAGCAGGAAAAAGACATGAACAGAAAATTCACACACACACACACAAGATATTAAAATAGCCCTTCAAAATATAAAAATGTTCAAATTCACTCACAATTAGAGAAGTGTAAGTTAAAACACCAAGATACCATTTCTCACCTATTAGACTGGCAAAAAAAATTTAAACATAACAAAAACATTCTGTTAGTGAGGAAATAAAGAAAAATAGGCACTCTCATAGTATACTGCTGATGGGAATACATATTGGTACAACCATTCTGGAGGGAATTTTGGTGATGCTTAAGAATATCACATACGGATTTACTGTTGGACCCAGCAATCTCAATTCTAGGAATCTATCCTGGGAATACACCTCCAACAATACAAAAATACACAGACATTGCAGTATTCTTCATAAATGCAAAATATGAGAAACAGCCTAAAGGTCTGTACATGGGAAAACGACTGAATAAACTATGGTACATCCAAAGAATGGAGTACTATGCAACTGTAAAAAAAAAAAAAAAATGAGGACGATTTCTATGATACGGAGTTATTTCCAGGACATACTGTTAAGTGAAAAAAGCAAAACAGGAGTTATCATCTGCTCCCCCTATATTCAACAGCAGCACCAATTAGGAAAATATATCATTATTATCCAGCTCAAGAAAAGGCCAAATAACCCTAGGCATATAGGGAAACAGGAAATCAAATTTCTGAGAATTACAGAGATGATTACTAAATCTGTGTTTTATTCATATTCTTTAAATGCTCTGACCTTCACATTTATTTTTTAGAAGTTTGTTCACAACTTTGATAACTAATATACATGGGAACAAAAAGATTTAAAAAGTTAATGACTTGTAACGTGTACTGTTTAAATTATGTGTTTTTTGATCTTTACATAAATTCAGTTATCTTTAAAAACTGTTTTCAAAATAGGGGCACCTGGGTGGCTCAGTCAGTTAAGCGTCTGCCTTCTGCTCAGGTCATGATTCCAGGGTTCTGGGAAAGAACCCTTGTCAGGCTCCCTGCTCAGTGGGGAGCCTGCTTCTCCCTCTTCCTCTGCCCCTCCCCCTGCTTGTGCACATGCATGCTCTCTCTCTCAAATGAATAAATACAATAAAAAAAAAACTGTTTTCAAAATAAAATGATAAATTACTATTACAAAACTACCATTTATGCTCAGGCTTCATAGGCCAATTTGTACTGCAGGTCAAAAATGCCTCAAGTCATCTCTGGGGCTCTACTTCTATAAATCAGCCAGAGGTATTCATTAACTAATGAGTGTAAGAACAAATGACCTATAAAGAGAATTATTAATTAGCACTTGTAAAAAGTACATAAATAATATCACCCGAAGTTTATAATTCAACTGTTTGAGATTGTTTTTGATTTTATTATTAAAATCACATTTTAATTTCCATAAACTGAATAAACTAGAGCTACGCAGAGGGAAATTATATAAGAACTTTAACTGGAATTTAATGAGGGAGAATTCTATGCCCTACAATACTTAAATGCACTTAAGAGTCTTCCTAGGACCCAAGAAAGAGAAGCCAGAGGTACTAGATTTGCCAGGATACTGGAAGAAGAAACAAAAGATTCCATGGATATCAGAAAAGAAAAACTGCATTTATAGTCTCCACGATGCAAATGAGTTAAAGACTGGAAGCCTAATACTAAACCATTACTAGTTTTAAACCAAGTAATAAATTCACTGGAGAAGTCTTATTTTCCCCATTCAGATCGTGTTAGAGAAACTAATGAGAAGTAAAATTTTAAGACTCTCAAAACTAAATTATTCCTTGAAAAGAAAACTAGCTGTAAGTAAACTCTAAATTATTCAATGTACTGTGGTCTCATTCTTCATAAATGACCAGTCAAGTTCCAGAACATTAGCAGTGAAGCCAACCAAGAACCAAAAGAATTGGAATACTTTAATTCTGTTACTAAATTCCCAAATGGAATAAGTGTTGTTAAACAGAAACCATGAGTTTTTCAAATTAAGGTATTCACATACCACACAGAGTCTGAAATGGTATGATCAAGGCACAGGAAGGCAGATATAAACAGGATAAACATGGCACATCATATTAGAATGGGAATTTACATTTTTTATTAAAATAAGTACTATATTATGGGATCTAAAGCAATATTCACTTGAATAAAACAATATACCTAAGTCTTCTAAGAAATTTCTTGGATTTTTGCAACAAAATATGAGCCTCCAAAGAAACATCTGAAAAAGAAAAGAAAATCTGAAAAGGGATACATCTTTCTAGGGGTACTTTAGTAAAAAAGTTGGAGAAATAGTATAAATAATTATAATATATGGGACAAAGCAGCTCTGACTGGTCAGTCAAAGACAATGCTAAGGAAGTAAATACAGAAAACTGAAAGCAAAAAGTAGCAAAATGGCCTTGCTTTAATCCAAACTTGCTTAGTTTCTTTAAACTACTATATTGCTGCTATTCCAGAGACTGGTTACCAGGCTAAATATTAAAGAAAAGTGACTCTATTTCTTTCATTCTTGATGGAATCTACAGAATATATTTTCTTGCTCATGGATAAACACAGAATGGTAAGACTTGCTTTAATTTCATAATTTAATCTGAAATTTCAACTTGAACTAACTTATTTACCAAAAAAAAAGTTAAAATACATAGTGACATTAAATAACTACATGTGTTTAACGTTGAAAAATAATATCCAAAATACAGAAGCTTTCTGCTTTAGTCAAAACAATTTAAAATAATTTTCATTTTTATGATAGTTTTCTTAACATAAGGAAAAAAATCCTTTAACCCACTGTCCAATGCAAATGATACTGAACAAAAAATGGTTTCCACCACGCAATATGTTCAAAATACAATTACATTCCCTTTCCTAAGTAGAATAACCAAATAAACAGAAGTAAGATAATAAAGAACCATTTACATTATGCTGCTGTCTGTATGTCAACAATTACCTTGTATCTGTAAAAGCTATTTTGCTAGATATCTCTAAGTCCTTTT